AATATGTCCAAAGATTATCGAAGGTGAATGGACGAGGCGTTGGCAGTCTGAGTTGATAAAAATCAGTCTGTGCTTTGTTGAGTAAAAAGTTCCCTTTTAGTGGAAGGGATTGGCGAACATAAAGACAGGGAAGTCTGGTGTGCTAGGTGAAACACTGTAACTTGGATGATACCTACGTTGAAAGAGATCAGGACGGCTGGAAGCTTGAGTTAAGCTGTGCACTGGAAAGGCTCACAATGAAGGGGATCGTAAGGCAGCAACAAACAATAGGAATGATACAGCAAGGCAAAAACTAAATGAATGATGGCACGTGAGCTATAGTTTAAAGACAGGAAGCCTGGTGAACTGTGGAACCTGATGCTTTAAAGTCTGGAAGTCAGCAGTTCATCGTGAAATGCAAGTGTCAGACGTGGGTGGAGGACCTGCGGGGAAATAGAAGATTTATGTATTAGGTAACATGTTCCGAATTTGGTGTCCATCGATGAAACAGGAGTGCTAATTGACTTGTGTGGAAGCCTTTACTAAATCTCTCTCAGGGAATAGAAGAAAGGACACACACAACACACACACACACGACACACACAAAAGAAGTTGGACAGCCCCAAGGATCTGCACCAAACTGGGCAGGAGGAGAACAAGTTTTCCGATCCGTCGATATCAGGGAGGAGGCAGGGGGTACATAAACACACTTTGACGGATAAAAGAACGAGTGAGAATATTGGCACTTAGCTGATCAGGCCCACGACGTTAGTGGGAGCTGTGAAGTGACAGGGCGGGAAGACTGACTCCCACATGTACCGCCCCCTCCCCCTCACCTCTTCCGATGGACACCCCCTGCTGCAGGACGCAGATGTAGAGCTGCAGGGTGAGCTGGGGGGCAGATCCCAGGAAGGCCTGAATGACAGAGGTGCGGGCGAAGGCTGCTCGGTGTGTAAACAGTTTCCCCTCCGCCTGCCCCACCTGCCGCTCCACCTCCTCAGACTGACCCCCGTGAGGCATCTGCTTCTTCCTGGTGATGCTGACATAAGGCTCCTCCACACGGCCCACGCTGCCATAGATACAGAACGCCTCCAGACACCTGCAGCACAGCAACAGCACAAACCATTAAGAGAGAACTTTTCATTATCAGTTCATTTGCAGATGATTTCCCTCCGTTCATTTTATTTATTAGGCTACCCATTAGCTTAATCAAAACTGAGGCTATTCCCCCCTGGTGTCCACATCAGTAAACAAACAGCTGAGGCTGATGACAATGCCTCTAGTTTTCATAAAGTCATAAACAAAAATATTAGTTACAATTAAACCTGAAGGCAACATGAATGTCTGTATGAACTTTTATTGCAACCCGTCCAATAGTAAAAACATTTAAAAGCATTTTTCCTGAAGTGTCCACACAGAGTAAAGAAGTTCAGTTTGCCGAAGGACACAAAATGTATATAATATTATAAAAATGTTATTGTAAAAATTGCAATAAATCACCTTGTTTACAGTATTGCAATATACTGAATTGTAACCCTTGTGTTGTGATATGTTTTTTATTGTCATTATTGTCAGATTCTTGCCAATACACAGCTTCATTTGTTGTTTGGCTGCAAACAACAAAGATGAAACTGAAACAATGATATAAAAATGTATTAAAGAAACCGCTGTTTAGTATGTATGATCTTAGTTGTGGACAAAATATTGCTCCTTCTTGTAGTTGAACACTGAAGTTGTCGTCCTTGAGATGACAATATCAGTTAATTTGGGTTTGAGAGCTCTGACCTACATAAACAAACAAGACCCTCAGGTACAAGATTATTTCTATATTGTTAGTCTTAAAAGCTTCCACTGGGTCGGCTTCCTCTTGAAATCAATGAAAAGAGGAAATATAACTGCTTTTGTCCACAAGATGAAAATTTCTTGTTAAATACATCAGTTATGTGTTCTTGTGAGTTCTCTTGCTTTTACTTTACAGACAACTGAAGCTATTTAGAGCAACAACTAGAGCTTATTTTCATTATTAATCTATTGATTGAGGATTTTTGATGAATAGTTTAAAAATATCCGTCACAAGGTGACATCTTTTAATTGTTTTGTCTATAACAAAAAAATATTAGGTTTACATATATAATCCAAATAAAGCTGCAAATACTTTGATTTGAGAAGCTCAGAAAATGGCTTTTTTAAACGATTTAAACTATTAATTGATTAACCAAACTGTTGCAGATGAATTTTCTCTCAATCCACTAATCACTTGAGCTCTCAGTGTTACAGAGCTTCAATTAATGTCCACGTTACTGATTGATTGTTTCAGCACTAATTTGTAACGAGACTTATGAAATGCAGCTGAAGAACACAGACCAGAGGGGATCTTTTGAACATGCATCAATATCTATTAGATACATGTGCACCAGCATTTAGCTCTCTGTTATTATGGGTGTCTAAAGCGAGTCATCTGCCTGTGAAATACTAAACACATTGAAGTGCTGAGTGTGGGCAAAAGGCCAGAGGTTGAGGCAGTGCTGATACACAGTGCCAATAAAACAGCAAGGCAGAGGGATTTAGGCTTTAGGCCACAGGGGTACTGAGGGACAGACTGTTTATCAGTCTGAACTACGCTTGAGTTAACTGCACAGTGAATTCATCACTGACTTCATTAATAAACATAAATAAACTGTACAGGTTGAGTATGTGAGCAGCTTTTCAAAATCTCACTGAAAAATGAAGTGATGAAGATCAGTCCCGCACTCAGTCTCTGCTTACTTCAGCATGTTTTAAGTGTGTGTGTGTGTGT